CCGATGGTTTCCAAGGCACATGAAACTTTTTTTTCTTTTGTTTATTTTATTTTGAGTGTATTGTGAGGTTTTATTTTGTTGTAATATTCTTCTCACCCCCCTTAATTTAGTTTTTAATAATTTATTCAAAGTGTTGTAATAATTTTTCGCCCCACTTCTTTCTATCATGTTCTTTTACTTGCTTTCCTTATTTGTGAATATGCATTATGTTTATTTTATTTTATTTTTTGTCGTTATATCCATGTTTTGCATCTATGTTTTATGCATCTTGATTTGGCTAAGTTTGTATTTGTGGATTTAATCAATTTCTATGTGATTATGTGCGCTATCTCACGTTCTTGAGATGATTCACATGTCATATCTTAGAAGCCGAATCTTTAGTTGCATCTCGTGAGTGAATTGTATTAGGATTTTGTATATAAGATCATGCATGTTTTACTAACTTTGTTTTGTAGCTGTTCGAGGGATGTCGGTAAATATATAAGTTTTTATGCTTTAACATCCCATTTGTGTGCGTTTTTCTTATTATGTTTAAGCATCCTACAATGTGGCGACTTGCTTACTTGATATAACTCTATGAATGTCAGTGGATGGAGGTTGTGTCACAAAATTTGAAATAGTGTTGATTTTCATGTTTGTAAACTCAATTTATTTGGGTTATACATCTCCAAAATTCTTTCAAAACTATATGAAATCAAATTATTCCAAAATAAATGGCATAGTCTATACTTGTATACTTCAAATAGTAATTTTTAGGATTTATTAAATAATTGAAATATGAACATATAAAATAAATAAAATTCATATCATGGTTTAGTAAAGGCCGATCTTTTGATCAGGTGAGTGAGGTTCCGAATCGAGACAACTTTGGTTATGACGAACAGTGGCATTGGCACGAGTCATAGGTTTCTTAATTTTCTAAAAATATTAGGTGACGACTTTGAGATCTGATGATGCAGTCCATTTCTAGCAAAAGGTTTTGCAATAAAATAAATTTTTTAAAAGTTGCCAAATCTGGACTCTCATCTATATTTCACATTGCACTAGTGAGACTAGATCAAAGAGATCTCAGTAGTCCGAACTGTTTAACGCGCATGAGTACCCCCCAGGCATGTTACAACAGGCCCGAACGTTACTTATTTGTTCGAAAACACGTTCCCGAATATAGCTTATTTGTTCTGGAATGCAGGTTCAAACATGAAAATTTATTAACACTTTGAATGGTTAAAATTATTGACACTCCCAGAAGTAAAATTTTTAAAAGTTGCCAAATCTGGACTCTCATCTATATTTCACATTGCACTAGTGAGACTAGATCAAAGAGATCTCAGTAGTCCGAACTGTTTAACGCGCATGAGTACCCCCCAGGCATGTTACAACAGGCCCGAACGTTACTTATTTGTTCGAAAACACGTTCCCGAAGATAGCTTATTTGTTCTGGAATGCAGGTTCAAACATGAAAATTTATTAACACTTTGAATGGTTAAAATTATTGACACTCCCAGAAGTTAAAATTTCAGTTTTGAAGAAGCAATGAGAGAGAGAGAGAGAGAGAGAGAGAGAGAACTTATTAAGAAACAAGACTTATTAAAAAACACTTCATGTATGAGAGAGAGCTTATTAAGAAACAACAAATTACAAAGAAATAAGAAAAGGGAGCAGCTTTGATCGTTGGAGAACAAGTTTCGGATGCACAACAGGCAAGGATATCTTACTCACCCTTTTTGTCAACAGCATTGCTAACGCCCTTCAAATGTGTGGGTTTTCATGAGATTTGAGTTGATGGAGAAGTGAGGTCTGTGGGAAATTAGGGAGGAAGTGGGGAGGGGGTTAGTGAAAAGGGAGAGAAATTAGAATGAGAGAAGGCATAGAAATTAGGGGTTTTTTGGATTGGAGGTTTTTTTTGGGGTGTGGGGGTGTTCAATGGATGGAATGTGTAAGGATAATTTTGGTATTATTGGGGGGGTAAAAAGAAATTTTAAGGGTTTCAAAATTTATAAGTGGAGGTCCAAAAAAATAGGAGATCTAAAATAATTTATGGGGTGCTAATAACACCACTCATGTACATATATATAAGGTTTCTCTCATGTTCGCAATTGAATTGAAAGGTGTTGTTGGTTCGTGATATGTTCGCAATTTTGTATATAAAACTAAGTAATAAAATGAATATTTGTAATGGAAAAAGGTTGAGACTCTCTTTTTTTAACCCCCACCACCCCTAATGTATTGAGATTGACCAACTTTTTGCTTTTTGTTTTTTGTTTTTTGTTTTTCCTCCTATCACTCACTAACATATGTCTGTGAAAGTTGTGAGGTTAAGGAAGAAGGGGGTCTCTATCATTTCTGATTTGTAATAATTGAGTACTGTCATGTAATTAAACTAAAAAGAAAAAAAGAAAGTATTCACCCTGCTATAATTTCTCCAATCACTCCACAAAACCTTCTTTGATGATCAAATCAAATATGAACCACGGGTGCGGGTGCGGGTGCGGGTGCGGGTGCGGGTGAGCCGGCGCCGATACAGCAATTTCTTTAAAAAATAGGGTATGAGTACGACTGGGGTAGGTCAATTTTTTTTAAAAAAAATTATAGCGAAACATCCAACATACAAATCAAAGTTTCAATATCAAAACTAAAAAGAGAATAACTTGTCTAAAAAGTTATGTAATTATTTCTTTTTCTTTTTTGATTATCTAAAACAAGATACAAAAGAGAGCAAAACCATGACTCGTGGGTAAAAGGTGTTGGAAATAAATTACTTGATATTTTCAAAATTAAAAGAATAATAATAAAGGCTACAATAAATTTTAGCATCTGCACACAAAAAAAATATATCATTTTGCCATACCGGTGCCGTACCAACGACATACCCAAATGTATTTGCCGTACCCGGCATGTATTCGGCGTACCCGGTACGCATACCGCCGTACCGGTACGCGTACCCGCACCTGGTAAGTACCCGATACTCGTACAACACTATTTTTAAAATACCCGTGCTTCAACCCACTCAAATTCTCTCAAGAAATTTTTTTCCCAGAAAACCCATTTCAAGAACTACCTGAAACTCCATGGACTCCAATTCCTCTCCCTCCAATCCATTCGTGTTGTTTCCACAGAATCAATTGCTCACCAAGACCCAGTCCCAGACTACAATTCTGTATACTTTATGTACATTGATGAGAGAGCATTATAGGGATCCATGGAATGGGATCAAATTTGGGAAATTGCTTGAAGATCTTGATATGCCCTTTCTTGCACACCATCTCATCAGTCAATGTATTGTATTGTCTTCAATTTCTTGCTTGTTTCCTGGGTTTTATGTTGTTTGGTTTGTGGGAAAGTAAATTGTGATTGCAGCAAGAGATCTGTGTTGTGTGCCCATGTTTTGTACATTTTCTGATAAATTAATACTATTAGTCACACAGAATTAAACTACAAAAAAAATATGAAGAATATATATGTGTTTGTTGTGTGCCCAAGTTTGTACGTTTTTATTTGAATTTTTCGATACATTGTTTTCTTCCACCAACTTTGACTATTAGACCGTGTTTTCAAAAGCAGCCTAAAATTCAAGATGAAGTTTTGGTCAAAATTGGCCCATATCAAATAAAGACCCTACACAATGGGAGGACTTGAGAGAGTGGTCACCTAAAGTAGAAATATGTTATTTTAATAATTATTTAATTTTTTACGAAAAAATGAGTAAAAAAATAGAAAGAGTAATTTGATAACCTTTTAACTTTTTAGTTAAAGTTATCAAACGAGATCTAATCCTATCCAATTAAACTATTTATAACATCAAATAAAACCTTAAGAGATAAAAAAAAGGGAGCTTTTTTGATAAAAATAAATATAAGGGCATAAGCGTCCAAGAAAATAGTGTAAACCAAGAAAATGGACTTTATGGAATAAAACTATACATACATGGGACTAAATGGGTTAAAAAATTCCTTCATGAACTTCTTGGGTTAAAACACTTCTAAATTAGACTTATCAATAAAAATCCCTAAAAAGGAATCTAATCGTACAAGATTAAGGTAGATGTTGAAGTCAAATTTAGAACCCATCTCTTTAGCTTGCTTTTCATGTCCGAGTGAGTAGTTTCACATTCCACCACATGATCATGGCTTAATATTGCTATCATTAAAAGAGCCAACGGCCACTAATAAGTAAAAGGCAACCGTTATTATGATTACTGATTAATTACTACGTTGTCTAATGAGTTGGTGTTCATGTTAGTGATATAATTATCTCTCCCCAAGGGGATATCATATGGATCTGTTTGAAAAAATAAATAAATAAATAAATAAAAATAGGGGTTTCACCCTATTAAAACAATTGATGGGTAAACACTTAAAAAGAAAAGCTTGATTTTATTGATAATCGAGCGATATCAAGCAATCTGTTTGAATATTAAATTTGCATAAGAATTTATAAATCAAAGAAGAAATAGATAAAAAATATATAAATGAAATAAGTTTCGACTTTTCACTTTCTTTTTTCTCTTAACAAATTTTTAGGTTGTGTTTGGGAACAAATAAAAAAATCACTATAAAGAGTGAAACCCTTCTCTCCCTCTCTTTTCACGTTTTTTTTCATTAAAAAAAAAAATTTAAATTAATTCATAAACACCGCCTTAATAAAATTCAAGGTCCAAGACAAGGGATGATACTCTGTAAATGTGTATCATCATCCATTCTTTTCTCATTTTCGGTGCCAGTTGTAGAATATATGGCCGTTGGGAGAATTGTCTTTTTTTTATTGCGTAAATCCGTCTTTGGACAGTGTGCCTTGTCATGTTCAGTGCCAAGTGTGAACATTGCACTGTTCGAAAAAGAACTCGGCTTTTTTTTAAGGCTGGTCTATCTAACCGTTCAACAGTATAGAAAGCATCTGAAAATGGGAAATTACTGAAGAAGAGCAACACAAATTTTCACTATTCCCAGAATCTGCAACCATTAATCTCATCCTAGAAAAAAAAAATGAAAATCAAAGAGAAATAACTCACTTAACCCTGAATTTTACTTTTAACTGAACAGCATTTTTGAATCCCCAGAGATTTTTACATGTAAAACCAAACAGATCAATGTAATTCTTCCGAACTAAACCTCTGTATATATCTATAGGATTAAACAATTTCCAAAATCTTTACATGGAACTATATATATAAATCACTACCCAACCAACCCATGGATTACAAGCAATTTAGCTAAACCCAACAAAACTGTCACTTGATATGAGAGACAAATGAGCTAAGGAGATGAGCTTTCATCATCTGAGGAACTGTACTGCTGCCGTCCACGAAATTCACCAACAACTGCTTGCATTGCCGGATTCACTGGAATGGGAAATTTATGGGCAGAACTGATTATTGTTCGCTCATTGATCATTCCAACTTCCCTGCAAACCCGATCAAGAACAGTTAAAAAGTCCCTCACCACCATGAAGATTCTGAGGGGGTGAGCTTCTTCCTTGGCCAAGTTTCCATGGAAGTATTCAGTTATCTCCTTCACTAGCGAAAGAGCAACACTCTCTTGGGCTTGAATCCTTATAATCTGCTCCTCTGCCATTTTCATGAACCTATTCATCGACTCTGAAAATCTCCGTTTGCTTTCCTCTGACCCCATTATTGCTTCATTTAATCGTACAACCTCTGCAATGTTCTCTAGTCCTTTTGAAAGTTTCATTACATCGCTACTAAGCACGTCTGAATCCATGGTAGCTGCTTTCTTTACATTTGTGAGCTCTGAACTGAGAGCAGAAACAACTTGGAGGCCAAGCTTCCTACACTTGGCATCATCATTGGAGGTGTATTTTGGGTTTTGGTTGTCGCCCGAAGGACGTGCACCTTCACTTTTTATTATTTCCTGCACAACAAAATGCAAGAGTGTGGTTTTCCCATCGGCAGCCTTGACATCGACAAGCTTGAGAAGTGTGTCAAGCTTGAAGGCATGGGCATCACCACGGTTTGTCCCAACGTTCATGCGGTTCCCAGTCTTCAGCACAGCTTCTAGAAGCTTCAAAAACATCCTGCTGCTCCTCAGTTCTTCACAGGCTGCCTGTAAAATTAAAAATAAATAAATACATTGCTTTGTAGTGGAACTAAAAATACTCTTTGCTTGTGAGCCTTTAATAACTAAAGTATTCCCAACAGGCTTGTATTACATCCCTGCATATTTAAATTTTCTGAGCTTTCTAAGTAATTGTAAACCAGGTAACAAAAGCTAAAAAACTATCAAGTGATAGATTTACCTCAAGAGTATCAAATGACTTTTTGAGGTACTCAGCCTCTGACTCAAAATTAGCCATGTAGAGCATTGTATCCACTCTTTTAAATGCAAAAGGTATATCAAGCACTGCCTTGAGAAATCTCTCAGCAGGTCCAAGTTTGAATGGTGAATCATCTTTGTACTCTTTCAGTCTACGTTCTTCCTCCTTAGTTGGAGCCATCTTCAATAAACTTTCAAGAAGATCAGTTCCAAGAGCATCTGCATTGCCTGTATAAAAGTGCAAGGAAAAAAAAAAAAAAACCTTCAGTCAGCAAAAAAAATAAACTACATGTCCAAGCTGTTTAAAGTGCACAAAGTGCTGTTAATTTTGGGTATAATAATATTGAAAAGCTCCATTGCTTCTGATAGAATCAAGGACAAGAAGTATTATCAAGTCCATGGAAGCGTGTAAACATACATAGTAACAAAGTATTAGCAGAAACAAGTGATTAATGAGACAAGTGTAGAGCCTAATCACTGAATAGTTGCATCCCATGAGAAATAAGGTATTACATAGAGAAAGACATCGTATGTATTGTAATTTTTTGCATCACAAAAGATTACACTAGGAACATTCGTTGAGAAAATGAAAGATTATCAATTGCTTATGTCAAAAGATTAAAATAATGCAATTAAAGCATAGACTTCCACAGAGACAATAGAAGATTTTCAATTACTCTACAAATGTCTATTGATTGAGAAAGTGAAATATTTAATTATTCATGCCAAAAGTTGAAGAAGGCAATTAAAGCATGGCTTCCATAGAGACCAATAATGAAGATAAGACATGCATACAAATTTGAACAGTTCAATTATTGCCTGCACTTCCCAGAATGAAATCTAGCTTCCACTGCTCTACCTTTACATATCACCAATGCCAGAATTTTAAATTTGTCAATTCTAGATCAATAATCTATTTTAGCAATTGCAAAGGAATCAATATGCATGTTGCCCAAATAGAGTATCTTTATTAGTTAACCAAGAATTATGAAGAAAAAGGAGTTCAATCATAACTCATGAGAGCTATTTATCAAAAAAAAAAAAAAATCATAACTCATAAGAGCATTACACAATACTATAATATTCAGTCAACCAAACAATTTCATAAAAAAAATGTTAACAAATATAAAAACACAGAAAGATGTTACCTTCAGAAAGGGCTTCACAAACTTCCTCTATGGTTACATTCAATGCCCTTAGAGAAATTGCAATATTCTGCGCCTTCTTCGGATCAAGCACCCTATTCTCCTGTTTTGGTGTGGGAAGAACTTGACGTCGAGTTGATTCCTTCAAAGTGGGGTTCGGTGTATTTACAATAAACAATGTTTCAATCATTTCCTCATTCAATCTGCAACCAAGAACCCAAATTTACACAACTAAAAAAGAGAAACAAAGGCAACCCAAAAAAAAGATCAAGTTTAAGCTCATATCATACTTAAAGGAGCTTGATTTTAGCTGATCCCACACCATCTCGCGATCAGAACTTGCTCTGACTTTATCCCAATGCAGTGGCTTCAACTTGGGCTTCGGAGTTTCCTCATTCTTCTCAACATTTTGGGAATTGGGAAGCAATTCGGTTGGAGAAATCAATGTTGGACTGTGAACAGCAACAGGTCTTGAAGGTGTTACTAGAACTGGTGGTTTCGAAATTGCCTGACGAATCGATTGAGTAGGAATTGGAATTTCCCAATGTCTCGGTGGTGGTGGCGGTGGAGGAGGTGGTGGTGCGACATAGACCACCACAGGCCTCTGAATAGTACTGCTGATTCTCACCGGAGATACCGAATTTGGATGCGAAACATTCGATATTCTTGGCGATGAATTCTGGGTTTTGATCGGAGGTTTTTCTGGTGATGAAAATGAAGATAGTGATGGGGATCGAGAATTCCTCTTATTGGCCGATTTATCCAATACAGCATTGCTAATTCTCGCCGGAGACTCAGCAATTTGATTCGAAACATTGGATATCCTCGCTGAAGACTCTGCATTTTGAATCGAAACATTTGATATTCTGGGCGATGAATCTATGCTTTTATCTGAATCTCTCTCTGGAGACGATGAAGAGGGCGGTGATGGGGACGGAGAACTCTTCAGATTAGCCAATTGGGTCATAACAGGTCGTGGTGGGAGCGGTGGACGTGGCGGCGGAGCAGTTTGAACCGCCACCAATTCCGGCGATTTCGGCCTTGAGCTTCTCGGAGTTGAACTCACTGGTGGAGAAATACTCAACGATACAGACCGAGTCGGCGAACCCGAATTCGACGACGAAGACGAAGAACTCGATTCGCTACTCCGAACATCAAAATTCTCCACTATTACGGCCTCAAACGCTCTCCTCGATGCAGATCCAGTGGCGATCGAACTCTCGCGACAGCCCGAAGACCCTCTCGGAGAGAAAAACTGCTCATCTTCGTCCTCCCCACCAGAACCCACATCAGCATTTGCGTAATTCCGCCGCAGATTCTGCTGGCCAAGCGGCGGCAACGGGCGGAGTTCCGGCGAATCCAATTTCCTCAAACTTACATCGCCGGCTGCGGCGCCGCCGCTGTTCCGAGCGGCATGAGAGTTGACGCGGGTATGAGAACTGACAACGGTGCCGAGGTAGAGAAACTCGGAGCTACTCGGCGGCGATCTTCGAGGCTTTGGAAGCCCAGCATTGGCGTGGAACACTCGGTTATTGTTATCCGATGTGGAAGTCTTGGTATCGCTGAAGCTACGCCGTCTACGGCGGCGAACGTAGAGGAATACGATGATTGCGGTGAGGAAGACGGCGAGGACGATGAGGGCGACGGCGACGGCGGCGAGTTTGGAAGAGGAGGGGTTGGATTTGGGGGTTTGGGGGAGGGTGAGGGAGGAAATGTTGGCGGGAAAGGAGGCGGAGGGAGGTGGCGGAGGAGGTGGGGAGGGTATGGATGGGAAGAAGGGGGGTTGGTTTGGGGTAGAAGTGGAAGAAGGGTTTTTGGGGTTTGGGGATTGACGGGATGGGGGCTGACTTGGAGGTGGTGAGTCTTCAGGGAAGAAGGGTTGGTGGAGCACACGGCGGTTGTGGGTGGCAATGGTGGTGGCGGAGGAGGATAAGAGGAGGAGGAGAAGAAGAGAGGGTATGAGCATTGTGGTGGCGTGATGAGAGAGAGTAGAGAGAGAATGGGTATTTTGTGAGGACTTTTTCACATTAGAGAAAGAGAGAGAGAGAGAGAGAGAGAGAGAGACGAGTGTGGTGTGGTGTGAAAAGTTTGAAACAGTGTGACATTTTGGGAGTGGACCAAAAATGGTGTTTCCAGCTAAGTTCTGCTGTTTGGTGTGCGGTTGATTCATCATTCACACTATTTGCATATGCTCTCATGTCATTAGAGGATTGAACTGGTGAAGTATTTAGGAGCTTGAATTTTTTTTATATTTTTTTATAATCGGATTAATTTACGTGAATTTTGATTAATTTTGGAAGAGCAAATGTCGGACTGACCTAAAGAAATTTATTGAGATCAATGATTTATTGGGACCAGTGGGTATTTAAATATAAGACTGGTGGAAAGTATATTCTTACCTCCCAAGTATAACGTTATAAAATTTTAATAATTTTTTTATTTATTAATGTGATATTTATTATTTTATTTAAATAGATTTTATTTTAAAATTTTATTACTGCATATCAATTGATAAAAAAAATATTTATATAAATTTTTTTAATTTATATACCAATTTTACTAAATTTTATCAAGTGTGGGTGGAATGGCTGATTATTTCACTGAACGATCGATTTTTGTCTTTCTTTAATTACAATTTTGTTTGAAATTTTTTGCTTCAAAATTTTAAAAACTTTACTAAACATATTCTATTGACAAAGTATTGAGGTTAAAAATGAAATCAGTCTCTATTTCATTGATCTAAAATTGTGTTAATATCACTTCAATTCTTCAATGCACAAAAAAGCGACACTATTCCACATTTTTATGAGCATAGATTATCATTTGGTCTCGAAAAGTATGAGTACAACTCAGGCGGGTTTGCTTGGATTAGAGGACTGCCAGGCCCAGCTCAAATTGTGTTTGGTAGTGCCTAAGCCCGCCCAAGCCTGACCATCAACCCAAGTTTGGCTGCCCAAGGTCGAATCGAGCTTCATAATCTGAACTCAGGTTAGCCTAAATTGCCAAAATTTCATAAGAAATATGATGATATTATAACAAGAAATCCTTTTTTATCCATTCATATTGATAGGAGAAACTAGGCAAAAAACTTAAATTAAACATTAACTACCACAATCCAATAAGCAGTTAATTTCATCATTATTCGAATTTCCGCAAATGTAACAACAGAATGCATCCAAATTTGAAATAAAGGACTAGCAATGGTGCATTTTCAGTGGATCTGAACCATAGCCCAAAATGATTAGCATGTTCATGATTAAACTATTGCAATTCATGAACGAAAGTTAGGATAAACATTCTGCTATCAATATACAAGCTACACTAGTAAAATATTAATCAAGATATAAGGGTATACCTGGATTCTTTACTTAGAATCCTTAAGAGCAAGAACATCTATACGGATGGAATCCTTCCCTGATTAAACTTCATGGTCTTTATTCCTCTCTCCGCCGTTCTTCAACTCTTTGAAGAAGAAATGAGAGTCTGAGACACAAAAAGAGAAGAAAAGAATAGGTAGGGTTTAATCTTTACTTTTAATCTAATAATCCAAATATAAGATTCTAATTTAAGGGCCAAAGCCCCAGCAAAAAAATAAAATAAAATAAAATCTAAGGGTTATTTATTTATACATATATTATATAATTTTTATAATATATAAAATGTAATTCGAGTTCGGGTTGCTCGGGTTACACACAGCTTCTGTCCAAGCCAAGCTCAAATTACAATTCAGATATCAAAAATTTGCCCACGTCTACCTAAATTATAAGATATTATTACCCAAACTCTAAAAAAACTCAGACTAAACACGGATTGCGCGGGTTGAGTTGGTCCAAATTGCACTCCTACTGAAAAGCTTGCGGTCCATTCCAAGCCCACTCAGCCAATGAAGCTTTTACCCAAACCAAATCCATACCTTGAGCAAGCTAGTCTGACTTGAGGTTTCTGTTGAGTCTAGGTTTAGAGTTTGAAACCCAACCTTGCAAAACAGGCGAACTCGTGAGCTTGTCAAATATTTTTTTTAAAAAATATATGAAAAAAAAAAAAAAGTACCGACCTTACTACCTAATTGTTTTTCCTATTAGCAACGCTGCTACAGGCTCGAATATTTTAAGTTCGAATTTGCTCCGAATCCAAAATGACGTCGTTTTGGATTATCTTATCGGTAAGAGAATTGTAATATATCTTACCGGTAAGAGAATTTTATTACATATTACCGGTAAGAGAATCCAAAACGACGTCGTTTTGAGTTTCGAGCCAATTTTGAGCCAAACAATTTCGGGCCACTTTTCTTCCTATTAGTGCCCGTTTGGGATAAAATAGTTAAATAAAACAAAATTGGTTATTTTAGCTAAATAAGATAAAATGTCACATTTAATTCATAATTATTTTGTTTTTTCTCTCACAAATGTTAAAAAAAATCAAAAAGCCTATATCAAATGAAGCTTTTTAGCCGCAAGCTAAAATAACTAAAAAATTAAAAAGTCAACCCACATCCTAAACGATCTCTTTGATTGGCCAATAATGAACCCCTGTTTGTTCATTAATTATTATTTAGAATTAAGAAGAAATACTTATCAGTTGAACAGGAAAAAAAAAATTATCTGAATATGGAAGGATTCAAGAAAGATTTTATACTCTCACAACTTTTTAGTTATATCTCATTACAAAATTATTTGTACTTTTCATATTTTTTGTAATTTTTTATCTCTACTTTATTGTTAAGTAATTTATCGTAAAATTAAATAGCACACTGTTTTGGTAAAAGTTCTAAAATTACTTTTCCTTCGTACCAATACATTTCTACTTGTTATAAAAACAATACAGAGATGAAGTGTACAGAGCACCGACACTTGTTTGTTGGATGAATAAAGCACTGGGAAATTGAGTGGAGGTGGGTAGCGATTAAAATAATTATAGAACGATAAAATAAATTTTTTAATTTTAGATTAAAAAATATTATATTTTAATTATAATTATTTTTTTTCATAAAAGTTAAAAAGATTAAAAAAATTATCATAAATGAAACTTTTTAACTTATACCAAATTAAAATAATTAAAAAATTAAACGAAATCATAAAAGTAAAAGTAAAAAATAACTTTAACTATCTTTACAAAATAGGCGTTAGGGACCTTCAACTCCTGTCAGTAGTTACATTTGTGCAACAAAATATATGATGTCATTTTTTTTTTCATTGGAAAAAAATATTTATATTTATAAATATTAAATTAAACAATTAGACAATTAGGAGAGTCTAATAATAAAAATTTGCAACAATTATTACATAATATAAGAATGTCTCATAATAAAATAAAGGACAAATTACCTACACCTCCCTTGAGGATTAACAAATATACAGATTTTCTTTAGAGATTTTAAAAATTATATCTCATCCCATCGCAATTAACACCGTTAACGGATATCATAAATTAATTAAAATTTCCTTTTAACAAATAAGGGCAAATTACTTACACCCTTTTGAGGTTTAGCTAAATTACAAATTTCTCCTGAGATTTAGCTAAATTATCATTTTTAAATAAGTTAGAACTGCAAAATTAAAATGAAAAAACATTTATCACACTACAAAAAATTAAGGTTTTAGAAACTAAAATTTAAGGACAAAATTATTTTTAGGAGATCAAATATTTTTATTGCGAAAAATGTCGTTATTATATTTTTAGTAACCAAAATTGAACATTAGTGATTTTTTATTTATTTTTTGGTGTCAAATTTTTTGTTTTAAAAAATAAACCATTTGAGACCAAATTATTTTATGCCTAAAAGTCTATTTATTGTTGACATTTTTGAAATTTTTCGTTAAAAGCCTTATTTTTGAATTTTCAAGACGACCTTTTACTGACTAACTTCACGACGATAATAATTAGTCCTTAAATATCTTTTGCAACAAAATTTTCACTTTTACTCTTATATGTTATAGTGTCAAATAGTGAAAATATCATAAATTAACAAATAATTAAATAAGTTAAAAACTCAAAAAATGACTTGTCAAAAAATTCTTAAAATATGTTTGGTTTGATTTTTTGAATTTTATTTTTATTTTTTTAAAAAAATAATTTGGTTAAGAAATAAAAAAATAAAAAATTATTATTATTTTTATATAATTTTATCTTTTGAGTGGTTAGAAATAATTTTTACAAATTAAATATATTTTTTCATATTTATTTTTATTAAATTAGTTTTTATTTTTTTTAAAATTCTTAATTTTTTTTTAAAATACCAAATCAAACATGGTTTCAAAAACTTGAATTTTTTTTTTCCAATCTAACGTAATTCTTTTGTAAATTTTGTTGATTTATCAAAGAAATTTCAGTAGGGGCAATATCGTCTATTAATTTATATTTTGGTGATGTCAACTAACCATTCTTAACGTTTAGTTAACAATAGAGGTTAAATTGTTATGCGAATATAAATCTCGAGGAGCGGGATGTAATTTCTGAAACCTCATAAAGGAATCTATAATTTAGCCAAACCACAAGGGAGGTGTAGGTAATTTGCCCTAAAATAAATAAATTATAAATTATTGCATTTGACAATCTATCTATCTATCTATATATTGTATAAGAAAAATGGTATTTTTAGTGAGGAACCTTGTGAGAGTTTCAATATCTCATATTAATTTTCTTAATTTTAAATAATTTGGTTAAGAAAAAAAAATGAGTTATTTTACTTATATAAAGTGAATCTTAATAGTATAGTATTGTGTATACTTCAATTCAAAACAGTTTAAATTTTAAAATTAAAATAAATTTTTAATTTTTAATTAATTAATTTTTATATAAGTTGGTTGGTCATTTGACCTATCCAATTAAGCTGACCCATTTTGGGTTTGATCGATTCGCCAGTTTAATTGTGATTTCTCGTATTGATTTTATTTATTTTAAACAATTAAAAAAATTCATTGGCTAACTTTCATTTAACCATATAAAAATGAAACTCTAATTAGTTTATAATTTATTTTATAATCTCATATCGAGAGAAGAAGAAAAATTAAAGTTTGTTTCACTATCTATTTATCTATGTATTATATAAGGAAATTTTGGTTTTTAGTGTGAAGTCTTCTAAAAGCTTCAAACCCTTATTATAAAATTATTGAATTTTCTTAATTTTAAACAATTAAGAAAATTTCGTTAATTAGCTTCCACTTACTTTTTATTTTACAATCCCACATTAGAAAAAGAAAGAAAAGTGAATTGTTTCACTTTA